GCCCCCTGCCGGTGAGTATCTATCCACTGAGCTACAGGCGCTCTTTGTTATTGTACAAAGTACAAATTATATAATTCAACATGATATTTAAGTGCATGACATTAATTCCTTCTTAATATATTATTTTCTTTAAATTCAAAATTATTATTTATAATTAAAATTAAAATAAAAAATTAACTGATTTTTTTTCTTTCACATCGGATCTATTTGGAAAATACCAACACTCAATAAGAGAATTAATTCCTGTTATTAATCATTTGGGTCAAGGTTTAATTAGGGTTTAAATCCTACTAATCGAGACTACTTTCTCATTTATACTAGAATTTAATTAATTTGTTTGCAAAACAAAGTTATGAAATATAATGCATCATAAACTATTTACTGATCATTATTATATAACAATGTTCAGAATTTCTCTCAGTACTAAAATCTGTTCAAAGATATATAACACTTTATACAAAAATGGCTACCAAAATGAGTAAGATAGTTTTCAACATTCAAACATGGTGGAAACAATGGGGTTGGCAGATGCAATCAATTGCATGCATAAGCTTCCTCCGGGGGCCAACGGCATCCGCCCCCATATCTTTAAGCTTCTTCATACTAATATTTGCCAACTGAAATTTGCTCACGTTTCTCCTCCGAAAAACCTTCACAAAACGTGCCAGCCCGAGCGAAACCAGCCAATTCTCCAGTCCACCGGCCCTCTTCAGTTTTCTCTCAAGAAACGAAGCTCTCATTCTTCGGTTCACAAACGCGACACTACCATCAAATATCATCATACTTCTCTTACAACCCTTGTCTGAAGCAATCTGAACAGCCTGTTTGGGAGACGATGAAATGGATAATTTTTTCTCTGTTTCGTGGAGTGGTTGCTTCGAGGCGGAGATGATGTCTTCTGATGGAGATTTTGATTGGGGGTTTGATTTTTCGGGTGATTGGGAGGAGATGGTGATTTTAGGGTTTTCTTGTGGTGGGCCCTCGTTTACTACACTTGGCGTTGTGGAGCGTGCCTTGTTAGGCAATGGTGGGATTAGGATAGTGATTATCTGCTTCTTGACCATCATCCAGTCACTTTCATCAGATGGTGGTGCTCGATTTCGCTGCTGCTGTCTCTGTTTTGACTTCACCATTAGTTTTTATACCTGCATAAAATCAAGGCGTAAATTGTAGCTAGCAAGAAAAGGAAGTTACAATCACAACACAATCGACTTATATATATATATATATATATATATATATATATATATATATATATATATATATAGAGAGAGAGAGAGAGAGAGAGACACACACACACACACACGCACACGCAAATGTAAGTATAATAAAGCGTATATATTATTGATTCGGTGCAAACTGCAGGCTGCAAGCGAAAGTTAATGAGTATAAACACAAAAAACAGGTCTTTTCTACACTTTGCCGTGCATCAAAGAGAATTTAAAAAAAACAAACAATCAAGATGGGTAACTTAAAGAAATGCAAGTTCGTCCAATTATACAAGAGCACCACTTTCTCTTGATTCATTCATGAAACGAAGAAACGGAAGAAGCAACAAAGAAAGATAAAGGAAGGATGAAAACACACTAGGACTTTATAAAATGCACATCACCCAATTCTGTCGAGCATTGAATGAAAACCACGAGACGACACTTAACAGAAACAAGCATAACTTAACAGCTACTTCACACTTGTTCTCTCGTTTTCCATTTGGCTACTTTATGGTTCATTCGATATGAAAACATACACAAGTTCGACCAACATTTATCATGACAACCGAAACAAATATGGGAAAAGTGGAAGTGCTTGTTTTTAGATGTCGATGCCGTATCAGTAACTAATAACATTCAGTTCTTTCAGAATTTCACCAAAGAACGAAACACTCGTTAGGAGTCGGAATCGTAACTCATCAATTTCTCTGTCTACTTCAAATTACAAGATTTAACTTCAGTCTCTTTCTTCGTTTGGTTGGTTATCCAAATCCTATAGTCCAACTAAATTTCCAATTTTTTTTTTATTAATACCAACTTTTAAATATAGGAATCAAAGGATCTGAATTCAACCAGCTTTCATCTCGTAATCCTCAGAACTAAGCAAGTAGAGATGAGGCCCGGCCCGACCCGGCCCGTAACTTGAAGCCCGAACATTTGTATATCCCATCACCAATCTTATTCGAATTCAAATGCGTTCGATAAAATAGGATCCATCAAAACTCGAATTTCAAATCAAGACAAAGCAACTTGTATGAACATCTAGGATTTCCAATTCACTTGAAGATACTGGAATTAAAGTAAAAAGGATTAAAAAAAAAAAACCTGAGATTAGGGCGCTACGCAGGAAATATTCCGGTTAAAGAGAAGGAAGAATGATTGTATGCGCTTCGATCTTCTCTTGAAGCTACTCTTCTTCTTCACTGTGCTGCAATTTACTGCAACTGTTTACCGCCCAGCGTATCTACTGTTCGACGGTTTTGTTCACTGAATAAAGTGTGTGACTGTGTGTATTTCGAATCATATAATATATAGTTTCTCTCTCATTAAGGTTTTGGGCCAAGTTTTGCAGCATTTGGAATAATAAGGCTTTCCAAGGTCCAATAAGATTAGCCCAATTATTACTTTTTCTTTTTACTTCTATTTTTTTTTTAATTTTTTTTTTTGACAAAAAAAGAAAAGAAAAGCCTGCACATGCGAAATTATATTATTATAAGGGTAAATTACGGTCAACTCCTGAGATAATATCAAATTAAGAAAAAACTAGCATTTTCCCCGTGCGATGCACGGGATATTATTTAAATAGTGAATTAAAATAATTAATTTAATACATAATAAGAAAATATAGTACACTAATATAATAAAATTTAATAATGTAGTATTATTCATATTAAATTTCTAGCTTTATCTCTTAATATTTGAGATGTATTGATGAAAATTAGGAGATCAATAATTGTTGATAATTATAGTTAAAAAATTAGTACAGAAAAAATATTAAAAAAAAAATAATTGCATAAGTAGCAAGAAGGTAGGATTCTTCACGGGTTAGTTTTAATATTGATAATTGTTAAAAATTATAGTTAGAAATTTGTAGTGAAAAAATATTAAAAATAAATAATTACAGAAATACCATTAAGATTTTTGAGGGTTGTCCAGCGTTTCTTTCTTTTATATATAAGATTTCTTATGTTTGGGTAATTACAATCAACCCTCAACTATAAATATTTTTTACGTGTCCATCTTTATGGTGTCAAATTCAACAGAATCTTCTAGATTCCGTGGAATTTTTTGAAGTCTGTAGTTGTATTCATTATGTGCAGAAATGCAGTTTTTTATGCACCTCAATCTGAAATTTACAAGCCAAAAGACACATCTTATGATCAGCTTGTTTCAAAATATGGAGCTCCAATGGGGTAAAACGGATACAAACTGGAGAATATTCAATATAGTTCAGAAGATTCCACTTAATTTGACACCGTAAAAATAAACGTGTAAGAAAATTCATAATCGAATCGGTGACTGTAAATTGTAATTATCCAAATACACATATTCTTAGAAAATAATTAGAATAGACATTAATGAATAGTGAATTTTCAAAATATCAAGGGCTAAGCCTAAACGAGTGCCGATCAAGTAGGGATAAGGTTTGGGCCATTCGGGCCTTATAAATGGATCCGGGTCAGATGCAAACGGGTCAAATGTGAAACTTCGAGGCGTTTTCCTCAAGAAAAGAATCTTCTCACATACATCGTCTCCATTAGACACAAATTTTCAGAGTCGGCGTTCATCACCGGAAACTTTCGATTTCTTCTCTGAAAATTCGTGTTCTTCTAGCTACTATATATATATAAACAATGGCGCAGATGAAGTTTCTAGGTTGTCTCTTCGTCGCGATTCTTCTGCTCGTGCCTTTGACTTCTGCCAAGTCCACCGGCTTTAGCTATTGCAGTACGTCGCCGTTTTTTTCTGCCCCCTGGTTTTTGTAGATCTCCGCCTTCACCATTGATTTAATTGCCGGGTTCTAATTTTACATTTTCTCGTTTGTTCTGTTACTTTTTGGATTAGGGTTTTGCGGATTATATTGTCGATTAGAGGAGTTGATCGGGTTTTTTGATTTGTCTGTAGCTTTTCGTTGATTTGCATGCCTATTGATCCAGTAAATTGTTTGAATTTAAAAAATTAGGTTGAAATTGTGGTCAACTTCGTGAAAACTGAGTACTTGCTTCTTTTCTGAAAAAAAAAGGGATTGTCTTTATTGCTGGCAGTTGCACTCAATTGAACTTTCATGGATTTGCAGTAGACTATTACTGAAGTCTTTGATCATGTTCATGATATATAAATAAAGTTCGAGTTTTATACCGTTCGCCTTCGTTTCTTAGTTCTTAAATGAGGCATTTCCATTTTCTTTACATGATAATACGAAATATCGGGGCTATCTCTGTCTCGTTTTCTGTTTCGTTTTGGTGCTTATCAGTGTTTATTAATATTGTGTTGTAGTTTTATAGTTTTTTGTTGTCTAAATAATTTACAGATAAGAAGACTGACTATGCTGTCAAGGTCAGCGGACTCGAGATAAACCCGTATCCAATTTCCAGAAGCAAGAATACCAGCTTCGAAATTTCTGCGACTACAAGTAATTGCTTTTTCCATATCCCTTTCGCTATTTTATGCTGTATATCCTGTCGGTAATGGCATTTTTTGCAAGCTGTTTAATATATATATATATATATATATATATATATATGCAATAAACTGCAATGCCTATTGTTTAATGTTTATCACTTCAATGCCTTATTTATGGTGTTCGATGGATGTGGTTAATACTTTGCAAGAAAGATGGCATTAACTCTTACTCTAACTCCCGAAAGGCGGTTCTATTTGTTTCTTGGAGAAATTAGTTCCTTATTATTTTGCCCGTTTGTCTCTTATCTGATGTCTTAATACAGTAGCCTACTTGTTTGTCCGAATTATATGCAAGTTCACATTGAATCTTCTCAGCAACTTGTTCGATTAACCATTTATAAAAAGAAGTAAGAGTGAAGGAGGTAAACTCCAATTTTTCCTTGCCCTACTTATAGCAGTTTGTTTGTCATTCAAGTCACATAGTTCTGCATTTTAGTTTCACTTAGATTTCCGTGTCTTTTGTTTCCCCCAAGTCTTCTAATTTCAGAAACCGTTATAGTTACAGTAAGTTGAAATTTTGAGATAGTCAACATTGCATGAGTGGTACTTCGATCTTTTTTTTAATGGAATCGCGCAATTCTGCGAAATGGGAATCTTCTAAAAATGAGATCCAATTTTTTTCCTTTTGCTCAGTTTGTTACAACTTTCATACTGTGTGATTGTAATCATTATTAATATGAAGCTTCTACTGTGAAATGTCCGGATTTCTATGAGACATAACTCGAGGGTTTTAACTGCTTGCAGGTGAAGCAATATCTGATGGCAAACTTGTAATTGGTGTTTCGTACTTCGGATGGCACATCCACGATGAGGACCATGATCTTTGTAAAGAAACATCATGCCCTGTTTCTGTCGGTGATTTCGTTGTCTCTCACTCCCAGGTTTTACCTGGAATCACACCACCGGTGAGTCATTTCATTTTACGGATGTTATTTTTTAAATTTAAACCTTTTCAATTTGTTTCTTAGATATATATATGTATTTACAGCCAATTGACATTTGAAACCAATCGATACATGCAGGGTTCGTACTCGTTGAAAATGACTATGGAGGATGGGAAGAAGAAGCAATTGACCTGCATTACCTTTGACTTCAGCATTGGGTTCATTGCAGAAGAGAACTTGGCGGATATGTAATTAAACGGTCCGGGATTTGTTATTTTGCCCCCCCGTTCCCAAGTCTTTTCTATGTTGTATATGAATTCTTCCTCGTTCGTAACTTTTGCTACTTATGACTGTTCGTTTTGTACTCTACTGTATAACGTTGAAATATGATTAAAGACTTATAAATAAACAACTTTTCAAAACATTTGTGCTTTGTGATTGTTTGTGTTGCTTGATCTGTCATTTAAAGAAAAAACATCTGAGAATAAAATATCATAAAAATTAAAAAAAAAAAAAAATTTATGTCGATCGATATGGCGAGTCAGAATCATTTAAATCAAGTATGAGTTGAGAGGGGTCTGGAATTTATACATTTTTTGTGAATCAGATCGAATTTAAGTAAACCAACTCAAAACCGACTCGTCGTCATCCTCAAACGTGCATGCTCTGTTGTTTGTTGTGTAAGAACTAAGAAGAACAGAGGTCAATAGAAAGTGAACCAGACAACCATAATAACCTAAAACTATATTAATATTCAAAAAAGAAGGAAAAAAATAAAAATAAAAAAGGACAAGAGAATATAAACAAGCACGAGCAACAGAAGAAAAAAAAAATGAAGGTCAAAGTCAAACGCAAAGATTCTCTGTGAAGAAACAATCGGCACAGTATCGGAGAGCTGACGTCGTCATAGGAAGCACCGAAGAGAAGATTCGCCGTTTAATGGCTCCTCGGACAGGGAACCTCAAAAGGGTGGTCGCATGATTGTAATTTCTTGATTCTTGTGGGCTTGTCTGAAAATACCACAAATTCGGGTGTCGTGTTTATTCTGTTCATTACGTAGCGGTTCTTTCTTTCTGCACCCTGGGTTTTTTTTTTTTCTTTTTTCTTTTTGGGCTTTTGGAAGGTTTCTCTTTTTGTTGGGCTTTTGGAAGGTTTCGACCTCCAAATATTTTGACTTTCGTACATCGTGATTTGTTTTCGTAGAAATCAGTTAAAACCCAATTATTATCAAGATGGCCAACATCGATCCCGTAAATGAGGTAAAATTTTACCTTTTAGTGTGATTTTTTTCGATTTTCAGTCGTTTCGTGTAGAATATCACAAAATTATTCAAGTCGTTTTGTGGTATTTTGCACGAAATGAACACTTTATTCGTGTTTTCCAGTCATTTCGTGTACAATACTACGAAATGATACCTCTTATTTCATGTACAGTCACACGAAATAGCAGTAAAACTGTTTTGTTATTCATTTCGTGCAATACTACACGAAATACCTAGTATATTATTATTATTTTTTTCTGCAAGTATCTAACTTTTTTTATATTTACGCAACCATATGATGACAATTTGTATTTTGATCCCTCGGTTTTGGATCAAAATGAATATGAAGATTTCTCTCACTTCTTCCAAGTTGATATTGTGTTCGATAGTAGGGAAGAATTAATCAACTGGGCCAAAGCAACTGCAGTTAGTCATTGTCACCGTTTGATTTGTCAGTCTATAAGGGAGAATGCACAGTACTTGGCGTGTGACAAATACGGACATGGCCGACAAACGAATATCGATATGGAAGATCCTAGAATCACTGGAACAAAAAAATGTGGTTGTCCGTTCAAATTGATTGGCAAAAAGTCAAGGTTTGAAAATTGCAGAATTACCCCTATACTTACTCCATCTTCCCAGCCGCACTACGCAAATTGCAAATTTGACCCCAAATTGGATCTCTCTTGCAATATCCAAAATATCCGTCACCAACTCAGTATGCTTTGACTCCTCCTCAGTTATAATCGTGTGTGACTCATTTACGAAAAACCGCAATACCGAGTATAAAATCATATGATTTACGATTCAATTTGTTCATGCTTACGTCAATTCAAAAGTTAAAGTAAGTCTTAAATATCAACAAATCGATCAAATTTGACGATTTACGAAAACTTTAATTCATTATATAATTTATAATAAACTTGTGATAATTACGGTTTTTGTCCCTATGTTATATACAAATTTTAATTTTGGTCCTTAAACTTAAACCGGAAATGCCCCCAAGTGGAGGTCAATTTGTAATTTCTGAAAATCCACCCCTCTCGCTCAAACTGTTCTGAAAATTGCATAATCACCCTTGTATTTACTCCATCTTCCTACCCGCTCCATCCAAATTGCAAATTTGACCTCAAAGTGTATCTTTCTTTCAATATCCAAAATACCCGCCACATTTATGAGAATTTGCAATACCGAACATAAAACCTTATGATATACGATTTAAATCTTACGATTCAATTCATTCATGTATATGTGATTTAAATGTTAAAAGAAATCTTAAATATCAACAAATCAATCAAATTTTACGATTTTTTGTCCATATATATATATATATATATATATATATATATATATATATATATATATATATATATATATATATATATAATTTTGGTCCTTAAACCAGAAATGCCCCCCAAGTGGGGTTAATTTGTAATTTCTGAAAATCCACATCCCTTACTGAAACAATTTTAAAAATTGCAGAATCACCCTATTTACTCTATCTTCCCAGCCGCTCCACCCAATTTGCAAACTTAACCCCCACCAATGCAGTATGCTTCTACGACTCCTCAGCTATAATCGTGTGTGACTCATTTACGAAAATTCGCAATTCCGAGTTTAAAATCTTATTATTTACGATTCAAATCTTACTATTCAATTCGTTCATACCTCAGTCGACTCAAAGTTCAAAAAAAATCTTAAATATCAACAAATCGATCAAATTTTACGATTTATGAAAAATTTAATTTATTATATTATTTATAATAAACTTGTGATAATTACATTTGTGTCCATATATTATATACCATTTTTATTTTTGGTCCTTAAACCGGAAATGCCCCCAAGTGGAGGTCAATTTCTAATTTCAAAAAATCCACCTCCCTTGCTCAAACAATTTTAAAAATTGCAGAATCACCCTTATACTTACTCCATCTTTCTATCCACTCCACCCAAATCGCAAATTAGACCCCAAAGTGGATCTCTCTTTCAATATCCAAAATATTCACTACATTTTCGCAATACCGAGCATAAAACCTTATGACTTACGATTCAAATCTTACGATTCAATTCATTCATATCTATGTCGATTCAAATGTTAAAATAAATCTTAAATATCAACAAATCGATCAATTTTTACGATTTTTGATCCCTATATTATATACTTATTTCGCATCGCACGCGCCGTCATTCAGATAGCTTTAACGAAAGGAAGAAAAATTAACTCCTGATTAACCAGCTTTCGTTAACACATAAACGAGTTTGTATTTCAACAATCATTTGTGCACCAGCAAATTCCCTTGTTTCCAAGGGAGTGGACCCCACAGCACCCTCCGTAGACAACTTCAAATTGTCACTTCCCATCGCCACATTCGACACAAATTTTACATAATCGTAAAAATGCAGCCTAAAAATCGATATATGAAAGTATGTCGAAAATATATAATACGATAATTTCTTGTATTCACCCGAGGCACCCGGCACCGCGCATTGCGCGGTGCTCTACACTAGTATATATATATATATGTGTGTGTGTGTGTGTGTGTGTGTGAAGGGCTTAGTGGCAATAAAGAAAGAATCATCAGTCAATCTCCCTTAAATTAGTCAGCAGTGTCAAAAATGGTAAACGAGCTCAACCGGTCGTGAACCCGACGACCCGATACGCTCACACTCGAGCTCGATCCCGATTATAGCTGTTCGATCACTCGTGAATCAGCTCCCGAGCTTCTTATTTATTTTATTATTTATCTGTTTATTTTATATACTATACAATAAAATAATAATAATAATAATAATAGTTAGTATTATTATTAAGAAATGGAATTATTTATTAATGCGGTAATTATTTTTAAAGCTCGAGTTCACATGCCTTCCAAAACAGGGGAGGTCGGCTCGTTGATTTTCCTAGTCAAAAGTGTTGACTCGGTTTTTTTATTTTATTTTACTCACTCTGTTTTTTGTTGCGTAAGAAGTAAGAACTGAGGTCAATTGAAAGTAAAATTATATTAATATTCAAAACAGAAGTAAGAAAATCAGACAACTGGGCCATTTTAACACGGAAAACACGCATTCAAGCAGTAGAAAGAAAAACATGAAGGTCAAACGCAAATATTCTATGTCAAGAAATAACCGACACAGTGTCGGAAAGCTGACGTCATCATAGGAATTAGCACCGAGGAGAAGATTCGCCGTTTAATGGCTCCTCGGACGGGAACCTCAAAAGGGTGGTGGTGGTGGCATGATAGTAATTTCTTGATTCTTGTGGGCTTGTCTGAAATTACCACAAATTCGCATGCCGCGTTGATTCTGTTCATTATGTAGCTGTTCTTCGTCTTTCTGCACCGTGGTTTTTTTTTTTTCTTTTGGGGCTTTTGGAATGTTTCTTTTTCTGTTGGGGGGTCAAATTGCAATTTCATGGAATTTTCTTGCGCTCACAACTCACATCTGACTCAGCTTTGTAGGTGTTTGACGCGTGGAGCTGATGTTGACAAAAGCTTTCTAATTTAAAAAAAAAATATGAAAGTTTAATCTTAAATTCTTCTTACTGGTTGATATATATATATATATATATATATAATTCTTCATTAGCAATATCACATGTTAATAAATTTCGATTGAAGTCTCTCTATATTTAAATTTTATATTTTAGCCCATTGTTTGTTGGGCCAATTTGAACGAGTTTATGTTGAACCATATTTGGACTTGCACAATTTTATTAAATATTTTTTGGACCAATTTATTTGGTCTTGTTGAGTTTGAGCCTATACCTATAAAATAATACTTGATTTTAGACTTTAACTAATTACTAATTACTAATAATTTACTAATAACTTATAAAAGACTGCGGCTATTTGGAATTTTACAAATTGCCCAAGAAAAGTTCAAATCTAATTTTTCATCGAAGTCAATTATTAAAAAACTATTATACTCTTATTAAAATAAAAATACACAATTACAAGATAAAACACACTAAATTTCTTTGTGCATGACTACACCTAACACCCACTCGTAGATGAGGTCACAAGACATCAATATTAAAGATTCTATAGAAAATTAAGAAAACGAGCTATGCATCAATGTATTTTTAGAGTTAGATGATCGATTTTCAAAAATAAGTTCGCACAATCAAAATTCAACACACACATGCCGATTTTTGTCACAAAATCAACATACATCTAATTGTTGAGTTTTTGTCAAAAATAACATGTACAAGTTGATATTTTTTTTTTCTTCCTCTTCTTCTCCTTCTCTTCCAGCACCAACTGTTGGGGAAGGTTGTTCCGGTCAAACGGTTGTGCTGCACAATGAGTTTCATCGGCGGCGGCAATTATTCCTTCATCCCTCTCTTTCTTTTCGCTCTCCTGTCATTTCTATTTATAATTTTTTTTTTGTCAGTATTGCACTAAGGAAATTAGAGGAAATATATTGTGATAAGAAGTATATAATAATTTCAAGTCTTCCTCTTAATAAATTTGTGTATTTTCAATTCTTCCATTTAGTAAGTTCTACCACAATTTGAATATATACTGCCCTGTAAAATCGCTAATCCAAGCAAAACACGTTTTTCCTTTTATCTGCTAACAGAGTTCCGCGCAGCCGCACCACATAATAAAACCCATTCTTAAATCCCTAATCTACGAATCAAGAATCCCCGCAGACAAAAATATATTATTATAATACATAATTATATATTAATATGGTAATTAAAATAAAAAATACAAACAAGTACAGTAAATTCCGTCCCATTTCAATTTCAATTTCAATTTCAATTTCAATTTCAATTCACCAATGACTCTTCGTTTCCATTCTCTCTCTGCAAAATTCATGTTGTTTTCTTCTAGATGAGCCATAGCTCGAAGCGAACCACCATCACCGCCGCCATTAACAGAGCCCTTCGTTTACCAGTCCTCCTCCGCCTCTACGATAAAACCGCCCACTTCATTTTCCCTCTCCTCCGCCGTTTGATTTCAAAATCCATCCGCTTTATGGACTCCATTCTCTACTACAACGAAGACGACGACCTTTACTCCACCCCATTCGACCACTCTTTCCTCGCCCCTTCCTTCTCCGACCCCGTCGAATCCATCTTCCTCGTCCCCTTCCGGTTAGTTTTTTTTGCTCTTGGGTTGAATTACAGCATTAGCCGCCCGTTTGCTGTTTTAATTTTTTTTTTTATTTTTTTTTATAATTTTAATTTAGCTGGTGGAAGGAGGCGGTGTGCGGCGGCGGCGTGGTTGATGGAGCGAGTGGAGTTGGCGGTGTTTTGTACAATACAACGGTACAATTGAATGTTGCTGGTAAGTACCGTGATAATGACGACGATAATTTCATTGGGGTTTTTGGGGATTCCGAGGTTTTGGTGGCTATGAGCAGACAGGAGGAGTCTGGGATTAGTGGAGAAGAAGCTGATTCCGGTGGTGAGGGGGATTTGGCTTTAGTGTCGGAGTGGATGTTCTTCAGTGCGCTTAAATGGTAAGTGTAATTAAACTGTTCTTGTTAATTGGTTTATATTTCTTGGTCGTGTTGTCGTCTAGTTGCGTGCATGTTTGTATAACAGTACTCGGTGTTTAGCGGTCTGTCGAAATTGGTGTTATGCTAGTTATTTTCCGGTTCTTGTTGAGTTATGATAGACGTCATAAGGGGTATTTTCGTGCTTGTGTTACGTTATGGAATTCGATGGCTGTAGCTGCATTTGGAGTGTTGAAAGATTGAGCTGCAGATTGTGTCTATTCTCGTATGTCGAGAATTAGTAATCGGACTGCACCTAGATTGCTGGAATTTATAACTTAATGTTTCGATCCATTACCTCAATCGCGGCTTTTCATTAGTAATCGGACTGCACCTAGATTGCTGGAATTTATAACTTATATGTTTCTTTCCATTACCTCAATCGCGGCTTCTCATCTCCGTAAGATCATATGATTCTTCTAATTCCTGAGTTGTCAATTCTGCTTAATGTTGATCTCGATGTGTTATTTCCTGCTATTAGTTCCTTTGATTCCTCTTTATTCATCAAAACGGTGAAGCTGCGTTTCCATGATACTTATGGAAAGATATCACCGATATAGTTTTTTGGCTGATCACTCATTTACTCGTCTGGTTGTTTGAACACTAATGACCAACAAATATCAAGGAATTAATGGACTACAATTTAGACTTTTGAACTGCGAAAACAAATATAGAAGAAAGTATACCAACTACCGTATTAGTGTGATTTTTCCTTTTTAAATAGATTGAGTCCTTGTTTGTGGTTGCCTCAACACACTTGGCACAGATAATATTTGTCAACAAAATATGTAAAATCCCTTCAAATTGTTGGGTATTTCAGCCATTCATGAAGGATACGTAGATGGCATCTAGGCTAGGCTTATCCCCATAGGCCATTTATTGGAAACCCAAGATTGACATTCACTTATTGTGCTTTTTCTTGTAGGCATTACGATATGAAGGATGTAGAAAGTTTTTTACGTGAAGAAGGTAGTGCATATGAATTATTCTCTTCACAAATCCGGCTTTCGTACGTGAGGGAAACAAGACAATTGGTCATCAAGATTAGCCAAAAGGTTCCTTTACAAACTGGCTCCCTTCTTTATAATCATTATATGACGTGTGATCTTGTCTTTGTTATATACGTAATTCTTATAGGCATTCACCACATTCGATTTGCCGTTGCATTGATGTTTTGTTGCCAGTTAATTCTGTAACGCCTTTGAATGTTAGTTGCCACTTGAATATCTTTGAGAATTATATTTTTGAAATTTGGTATTACCAACTTAGGTTTTCTGCTCTCAGCTGATTTCTGGTATAATTTTCTCAGAGGGTCTATATGTAGAATTTTATGAAAAGTAGATTACTCAGTATGTTACATCTATTAAGATAAAAACATAATAGATGCTTTCCAGGAAAGATGTAAGACGCCTGTTCAATTAATTAAGTACATACAGATTCAAGAATGACAACTTTTTCTTAATTGGGGGTTGCCTTGTGAACTGTGTTATTTGGTACAAATAATGAATGTGTAATTTTCCTTGCATGCAAGTCATCGGTGCTCTTTTACCTTATTAATGAACTAAAGCACTTGTGGGTGAATGTTTTGTTTCCCCAACTGCTGCTGCAACTGAATTGATTGAGTGAATGAACCCTTGTGATTATGTGAGCCGGTGGGAAATAAAAGTGCCCCTACTGTACCAAGTTAACCTCGTCCATTCGTTCACTCCTTTTTTCATATAAGCATTTCCCATTTTTTTTAAAATAGTAATATTTTTTCCATTTCTTAAACGAAAGTACTTCATATTACTGGAAATATTAACATGACAATCTTATCTTGAGAATTGAAGGACAATGAAGTTGGATTTGCCAAAGCACGCAGTATATTTTGTGCCAAATGTGGAGTGGTGAGCAATTACAGTGGTTAATATTATTTTACTGTAAATGGGTCCTTTCTGAATGTAATATGTCACTTCACATTTTACAGTTGCAAGTTTGGGACTTCTCAGGACAGACAAACCAGCTATTTGTTGCCGATAAAAACTCATATATGGGTTCAGGCCAATCAGATGAAGAGGTAATAATGTTTTCCACACGCAGTGTAGAAGTTAGTTATCTGATGGTTAATTCATTATGAATTTATGATGGAGCCTAGTTTCTCATTTGTCTCGCCTTCTAGTACAAGTACTGCCGAATTTTTTAATATTTTATTTTTTCACGGGAAAATAGGTGTAACTCTAGGTGGATTGATTTAATCAACTAAATCTACCCAGTTTTGTATTAGAATCTGTAACTCCACCAAAATGTTAAAGGAAAGAGAACGGTTGCAAGAGTCAGTTAATTGACTTTAAGAAGTAGTACTGTTGCACTTATTAAGACATAAAAGTTATGGTTAATGGTAATGGTCTGCGCATAACAATTGTTGAGGAGGGGGACTCTTAGTCACATATGAAAACTCTCTTGAAGTAATTATGTTTATATGTGATCTTTTTTTTTTGCTAGTGTAATTGCATGATCTAGACTCCTTATCTTAATGACTCTTTGTACTGATTTTTATATTCTGTTTTCTGATTGCATTAAATGATATTTCGTTGCTCTTTAATCTCTTTGTAGTGTAGTTTGTCTAAATAATTTAGTAACTAAATTTTCTTCCTGGTTTGATCATCAGCATTGAATCAAGGTGCTGTTAGCATGAGGATTGAAAGCACACAGTTATACGATGATGCTCTTGATCTAATTCACTTCTATTTGAAATTTAATCTTGTTAGTATGTTAGTTTTCATCTTCCTCGTTCTGATCTCGTGTCAATAATGCAGTTACATAAGAATGTTTTCAAAACCTTCTTATCATGGATGCCACTGTTAGCATGATGTTTCGTTGTATATCATGCTTTATAATGTACTGTTCTTCATATCTTGGTCTATATTGGTATTTATTCTCATTGTTTACGTGCCTATTGTGCTGATATTTGCTTGGGGCAGATTCTCTTAGAGTTGCAAATTTATGGCTTGTCTTCTACCATCAGAGACGAAGAAAGGAGAAATGATGATATGGCAGTGGAGCAGTCTTGGGTTGATGAACCCTCATCCAGTTCTTCACCTAGGATGAATGGCAGTGTGGATAAAGTGAACTTTTTTTCTAGAGTGCCACCACCCTTTGCATTTAATAGTAGCTTTTATGGCCCTGGTGCGTTGGGCTTGACTGGATTGCATAATCTTGGAAACACTTGTTTCATGAACAGTGCTATTCAGTGCTTGGTGCATACACCGAAGCTAGTTGATTATTTTCTTGGGAACTTCAGGAAAGATCTGAATTATGAAAATCCTCTAGGAATGAACGTAAGTCTTTGTTCCATATATAATTTTATGTCTTTCATATGTTTGTAGGGCGGAGATTGGTTAGTTGGAATGATCACCGCCATGCACATTTTCTTATTTGATTGCCTTCATATGTCTTATAGATAGTGTAGATTCAGGCTTTGACCCTTCTGACCATTTCTCAGCCGTGTCTCTAAATGTGTTTATAACGTTACAGGGAAAGCTTGCTATAGCATTTGGGGACTTATTGAGAAAATTGTGGACTCCCGGGGCAACACCAGTATCTCCAAGGATGTTCAAGTCGACTATCTCTAGTTTTGCTCCCCGTTTTAGTGGATACAACCAGCACGATTCCCAAGTAAGTATCCTTAGAGCCTTCAAAACAGTTTGTTTTAATACCTGAGGCATGATTTTTTTTTTTCATATGTTAGTTAACACAAGTCCTATATTAGGAATTTCTTTCTTTCTTGTTGGATGGACTACATGAAGATCTCAACCGTGTGAAAATGAAACCTTATATAGAGACAAAGGACGACGACTCTCGTCCGGATGAAGAAGTGGCAGATGAATACTGGAAAAACCATTTATGTCGCAATGATTCAGTCATAGTTGATTTATATCAAGTATTCTTCTTTCTCACTGTTCCTGTGTATTTACCTGATAATTTACATTTACAGCAATCGAGTTGATTTGCCTTTCTATAAAATGCTTTATTCTAAATTGTAGGGTCAATATCGGTCAATGCTGGTTTGTCCTGTTTGCAAAAAGTTGTCAACAACTTTTGACCCATTTATGTACCTGTCATTACCGCTTCCTTCTTCAACACTACGAAAGATGACTTTGACAGTCTTGAGTTCTGATGGAACTACTTTGCCACATCCGGTTGTAGTCACAGTCCCGGACGATGGGACATTCAAAGATCTTGTTGTGGCCCTCGGCGAAGCTTGTTCCTTAAGACACAATGAAACATTTTTAATTGCTGAGGTATATCTTAAGAACACTAATCTTAGATGTCAGTATCTTGGCCATGGCTGTTTCTTGTATTACAAGATTATCCATCAGTATTGTCAATTGAAATTCTAGCTTTTGGAGTTGGAGAAAGTTATGAGCTATTTTTTATGACCATATTTTGATTTTCCTTACGTGTCCTCCCATTCACGGTCCCAATCAATATTATCATCTATAATAGTCATGTTTATGTACACATAATATATTTCTAACTGTTCTCTGGAAAATAGTTTTGATAATTCAGTACCGATGTGCATAAAAATTACTCAGATATTTAGGAATCAGATCTTTCTAAGGCCTTTTGTGAAGGATAAGGTTGTTAATTGGAGCTGAGTATGGTGATGTACAATTCATCTAGCTGTACGTGGATTGGACTACACATCGTAAGATTTCTGATGATGTGGGGGGATGAAAATATGCTAAATATGAATTTTCTAGCATGTTGTAGTGTGTACGAGGATGACATGTTACTTATCCTGTAAATATCACTTGGCCAATCATTCTGTTGTTTTGAGCCAAAGGCAAAAGACAACAGTTCAAGTATGATGGTGCATGCCTTCTATTCTCAACTATGATTGGCATATGTGTGTTGTTTTTGTTGGCGTGTACGTGTGTGTGATGTAACCCAACATTTGTTGGGTATAGATTACTATTTACTTGGATAATAATGTTTTAATCTCAACTTATGTGTGTATGCATTTGTGTGATGTGTAACTTCATAGTATAATTGGCAAGAGATTACTATTTACTTCGACAATAATGTGCCTTTACTTGTGCTTTTATTATGACTACTTTAGCTCTGACTTTGAGCTGCTCTGCAGATATTTAATAATTCAATCCTTAGAGTATTGGAAGACCCAGATGATTCGTTAGGGCTAATTAGAGACAATGACCAACTTGTAGCCTATATATTGCCGACGGAAATGGATGGATCTCCTTTGGTTGTGTTTATGCATCAACAAGAGGAGAAGTAAGTTCCAACTGTTATTTTGATCTCTCTTGTCCGTCTTACTATAAAAAAATGTCTCCATTACAAGCACTTACTTGGATGCCAGGTATAAGCTGATGTTTTTTGCATACTTAGATTGTCAGTATGTCAATATGCATTTTACAAGATTATGGAGCGAGTTATTTTATTTTATTTTTAGTACTGAAGTATAAGTTACAATAGTATTAATGTTACAGCTCCTCAAAGACTATTTTGCGTTGTTGTGTACTATTAAAATTTGTAATTGGAGGTAAATACTTGTAAAGATCAAAGTTATTTACGTTTTTGCTGAAGAATGGAAAAATCACTTGGAGTGCGTAAGAAGTGATGGGGTCACTGGAACCTGGAATAGTAGTTTTGGGTTGGAGAAATGCACTCTCTGCTTTAGATTTTACGTTAAAGCCCTTGCCAACAGTGACTATACTCTTATCCAGTGGACACTGGCTTTAACCTTGTATGCACGAAAGACAGTGAGCAATTTTCAGACAGCCATAACTTTGAATCATCAACTACATTAATTGTCTTCTTCTAAAACTATCCTTAAAACAAGTATGAAGAACTTGCAGCTCTTAGATTTTCTTCAAAAAATGTATCAAACTTGTTTTTCCATCAGTTACTTGAGATGCTATAAATTCTTTCTATTAACGTGGTTCTAATTTTGTCAGGTCATTTATTCATTCTTCCCCATCTTTCAAGAAGTTCGGCATTCCTCTCGTGACAAGGATATCTGATTTTTCAAAAGGATCTGAGATACATAAAGAGTTTCTTAAGCTCCTCAATCCCTTCATACTCCCCGTTGAAGAGTCCCTTAACGACGCTTCGCGAAAGAGGGCCCACGAAGATGAAGAATTGGAGGACACTGTCCCTGATGGAACTGCTAACTCGAATAATGAAACCGAAAACGATTTAGATGCTCACTGCAGCTTCGAATATTACGTAGAAAATGGCAAATCTCACTCAAATTGGTCGAAGATAGAGATGGATGAACCAGTGCCTATACCTATACCAAAGCTAAACCAGCAAATTGACATGATTGTCTCTTGGTCAGAGAAATCGATTCAGGAGTACGATACTTCAATTCTAAGCATGTTGCCCGAAGTATATAGGACTACATTTTCATCAAAGTGGAATCAAGATTCCATTTCGCTCTATAAATGTGTCGATGCCTTCTTGAAAGAAGAACCTCTTGGCCCAGACGACATGTGGTATCTATCTACCTATCTATCTATCAGTATATTATTTCGAATAGGATGTAATAATGTCGATTTATTATATTTTTCATATTTCGTCTGGCGTTGTACATTTTTTGTTTCTAGGTACTGTCCTAACTGCAAGGAGCATAGGCAAGCCATCAAGAAGTTGGATCTTTGGAGATTACCGGATATCCTGGTCATTCATTTAAAAAGATTTTCGTATACTCGATTTTTTAAAAACAAGCTGGAAGCTTTTGTAGACTTCCCAATTGACGACTTTGATCTCTCTAATTACGTAATCCCGAAGAATAACATGCCTCGCCATCGTTACAAGTTATATGCTGTGAGTAACCATTACGGTGGCTTGGGTGGCGGCCACTATACTGCATTTGCAAAAGTAAGCTTTAATTTTGACCGAAGCAATTTTATTACATGAAGGCTTAATGATATTAATTATGGCATTCTCGGTTTCTCTTATCGGATTTTTCTTATTCGTAGTTTTAATAAATTTATTCTTGGTAATGCAGCATGGGCTCGATAGGTGGTTTGAATTTGACGACGGACGTGTCTTTGGTGTTACCGAGGAGCAAATAAAGACACAAGCTGCATATGTCCTCTTTTACAAGAGAATCTAAGCTTTACACACTCTAGAAAGGCGGTGAGTTAGATTCTGTTGTATCTTTTTTCGGGTCCTTTCATTTTGTGGGTAGAGGAAATCAATTTTTTTCTTTCTTAGACATACATATATGCCAACATTCAAAACCCCCTTACGACAAGAAACGGATTTTCTTGAAAACAGGGGATTTTGTGTTGCACTAACAACATTTTCATGGGGGTATAGAAAAGTCGGTCGAGACATTCTTAGTGCTTTTTGCAGAGGAATATGCTTGTGCAGAAAATACTTGACATAATTGTATATATTAATGTCGACGAATACATAGGTAGACTCCGTGGTTTTAATTAGCTAAAATTGCCTTATCTCTCTCTCGTGTTTTCCTTGGTTGTTTCTTTTGTGAAATTCCGGGGACTTTCTTTAGTATACGGCATCTAAATCTGAAATGTGATATTACAATATTTAGTATGAGCTTTATCTGTGATACTTACTTATCGTGGGCGATTAGCATTCTCGATTATTAGACTAGTTTCTGCAGCTGTTTGTATTGGTTATTATTTGAAGCATGTGTAATACTAAACGAGAGCAAAATATATGCTACGCCGAGTGAAGTGTACATTAGGTAAAGATGTACGGTTCATATGCAGGTACTAACATGGATGTGCGTGTTTCTATGTGAATGAATGACGATCATATACCCGATCTATTTGATGTAAATCGAGGTAATTGAGTACTCCCTCCGTTTCTAAATATATTAAGAAACCCAATATATATATATATATACACACACACGACACACGTGACTAGTTCACGTGCAAGATGCATCTATTTCTTCACAAGAAATGTCAACATCTTAAAAGTTGGCTAACTACTCACCTGAAAATATTTTTGTTCTTTTAATAATTTAAATTGTGTTATAAGAAACACACAAGTAAAATTTAACCACAATTATTTGTTAAATTTAATTTATTGGATCATGATACAATCACAATTTTTGTTTTATTTTGTTTTATTTAAAAACCAAGATAAACTGAAATAAGCTAAATCAAAGGAAAAAAAGGGACAAAATCGCAAAGCAAAAGTAGTGGTTGGCAATTGATGAAAGTAGGATGAACGTTAAGAACAACTCCATCTCGAGTATTAAATGAATTATCATACAAATAAGCTATCTTTTTGGTACCTTAAAAAAAAAAAAAACTCCTCGAATGAAAATATTAAAAATAGGTAAGTATTTTGATATTCCATATCTTTGTATGTAAAAATATTTATTAAAAAGTGAGTTATAAATAAATTAACCATATAAACATCCAACTGCACGTTGACATGTGGTAATTAAAAATAAAATAAACTAATAATTAATTTAATAGCTCAATTTTTATGTTTACCGTTGGAGTTGTTATAAGGGCCATAGGCAAACATTAATTTCTCTATCTGTCAACTTCCAACATAAATAAATGTACCTATTCATAGTCAATAATAATGCACTCTTTCTCTCTATACAAATCTTTTTCATCATCTAATTTGGTGCAAAATTCTTGTACTACCTCACAACCTCCCCATAAAATCATCAAAGCAAATAAATAAAATAGTCTAAATAAAGGGACAACACTATGAAATATGAATGACCCAAAAATGTAATTGTCTATGATTGTGTTTGTCTCGTGATGTTTATATGTGGAATGAACTAGTTTTTTTGAGTGTTATATGATTGTGCTTGTCTTGTGATCTTTTACTAATTTTATTTGTACGAAATAGTTCACGTTTTGTTTTATTTGGGCAAATTACCGTCACCTCTCTGAAGTAAGTTCAAATTATGAATAATCCTTCATGTTTGGATAATTGCAACTATTCTCTCAATTATGTATCGTCTTACGAAAAAAAACTCTTCTTTCAACAGCAAGGGCGGAACCAGGATTAAAATATAGGGGGGGCTAACTAAAATTTCGGGGTTCGGGGCAGCGCCCCGAAATTTTTTTTTAGGTTTACAAGATATAGCAAAAATAATTTTATATTGATAATTTTTTAATTGAAATAGCATATATATTATAGTTTTATCATATTTTAAGCATGACAAAAAAATCTTAATGTATTACACTTAAATATTTTGGAGATTAACGGCATCGTCTCATATTATTTTTAAGAGACACTGATAAAAAAATTCCAAAATAAGTAAATATTCATAGATATTATATAAAATAATACAAATTTAACCATTTTATTAAATATTTTTAAATTAGATATGATGTATACAAGTATAATTTATATAAGATTGTGGAGAAGAAACAAAAAAATTAAGGGTTAAGACACATATTTACAAAAACTTTAGGGGGTCAAAAGTAATATTCAAAAATTAAAATGCCAAACTACCTAAAAAAAATTTTTTTTTTTTAAATCTTGGGGGGGCAACAGCCCCCCTCTGCCCCTTAAAAGATCCGCCATTGTTCAACAGGTAAATTTGATACTATAAAAATAGACATATAAAGTAATACATAATTGATGAATGGTTACAATTATCCAAACATAAGGGGTTTATTCGGAATTTGAACATAGCTCACGGAGTGGTCGCCAGTTCTTGATGGATTCTTGATGACACTTTACATTGGTGGGGGGCCGGCTGCAATAGAAGGGCAGGATGAAAAGATATTTATCAATACAAAGTACAAACAATAAACTATATTATCCTTAATTCGTTACATGGTGATGGCACTAATGTTTAAAATTTGCTAGTGCTTAGTTATCATTTAATGGGATTATAGTAATCCTACGAATGAATCAAAAGTCACATATGTGTACCGAATAAATCATATTAGGTAAATTATGTGTAATTTCAATTTTTCTTTTTATATTTTTTTATCGAAATTGTCATTCCAATCTGATTAGTTCGATTTCGACCCCTTCCTCTTGCGTTAGAAAAGTCGTTTACTTTCAGTTTGAAATTTATTTTGTAAAATTAATTTAAGAAGAGAAAAGTCATATACTTGATTAGTAGCATCTTTTACTTTTTCTGTAGCACTATATAATCAGATTTTTTATGGTCAACTCATTCGCCCCCCCACCCCCACACACACACCACCCACATTTGGAAAAACAAATATATTTCCACAAGTATCAACACACACACAGATATATATATATATATATATGTATATATTATAATTTATTTTATTCCACAAGTATAAATATTGAATAACAAAGACAGTTGTGCACTTCATCACAATTTAATATAAAAATTTGATAGAAATAAAATAAATAAAAGCCAACATCTGTTTTATTCCCCTGTTTCTTCTGCAACAAATCCCCCCTCTTAAGGTTTAAGGTTAAAAAAATCTCCTCCGCCGACCCGCCGCGGTGGTGGTGCCGCCGCCGTGTCTCCTCCCACCCACTAATCTCTCATTTTAGATCTGCACAAATAGGGGGTTTTTCTCTAATTATGTCACAAGTGAGTTCTACCAGCTTTCTTCTAACCATTTACTGATTGCATGATTAATTTATTTTCCGATAAAGATTTGATTTTTATTCCTCCCCTTTTCAGAGCTTTAAGATATGTATATATATATATATATATATATGTATATATATATATATGTATATATGTATATATATATATATGTATATATATATATATATATGTGTGTGTGTGTGTGTGTGTGTGTCGGTAGATGAAAAAACAAACGTGGTTAATGCTCTGTTAAATCTCTTTAAATTATTCTTTCACTCCTGAATTTAAATCTTGGTGGTTGCCTAGTATTTACTTCTTCTCAATAAAGCTGTGGTTGCTAAAAAAAAAAGAAAAATAATAATAAATAAATTAATAAATAAAATATGAATATAACTTGTCATTATAATTTTAAGCTGTCTTGTAATGAAAATGAAATAAATGTATTTGTGGGGTTTATTAATAATTCAATTCCAATTCTGGGATATGCTTCTTTTGTTGGTTTGTAACAACTTGCAGTTCAAATGGGATATTATTATAGCCTATGAGCTTTTCGAATTCGAATTTTTAGTTAATTAAAAATCGCTTTGTTTAATTTTTCGCTTTCGTTTTGCATTCTTGAGAATTTAGTTGGATTTTTTTTATATATATATTTGCAGCTGGGAAATGCAAATATGGTGGAGAAAGGTAATATCTCGGATTACAGAAACAAGTTGGACAAAACGCTGACATCGCCCGATTTGACGAGCGATGAAAACGTTCGTACCCTTGTGAAGAATCAAATTTTACAATCACTGGCTTCTGAATCAGAAGGTTATTTATTTGTTTATTATACTATAAGGATTTTTTATCTGGTGTAGAACGATATTTTTTTTTACGGGTGGGGTTTTTATGATTTAATATTTAAGACAGTATAAAAGTTTATTTAATTTTTGTTTTTTTGCAGAATACAATGAATATGTGGTGGAAAGAAGAAGTAGAGAAATGTCGAATTTCCTTAATATGTTGAGGAGTGCCTCTGCGAACGAAGTCGAGATGTCGAAATCCATCAACGAATCACACAATGGATGGAAGGTATTATTGCTTCTTTTATATATATACATATTTATTTTATTTTATTATTTTTACTTGGGATTTTTTATTTCGGGAACTCAATTTTTTATTTAAATTAATTGTAGATAAAACAAGACACTGATGAATTCCGAGTTATGTATCGAGAAGGACCGGAAGGAACTCCGCTTCACACACTCCTCGTTGAAGGCTATGTTGATGGGCCCGTCGATGTTTGTAAGATAAATTAATATTCTCCGATAATTTCTTTTTTGATTTTTTTTTTAATTTAGTGTCGAAAATTGAGATCAATTCGGGAGATTATCAACTTTCGTACATACTTTTCGTGAAAAAAATTCTTTGTTCTTTAATAGGTGCATGCGTTTCATCGGAGTCCGATCTTTATAAGAAATGGTAAGAGTTTAGATTTTCAAGCGTAATTTAATTTTGTCGATTTATTTAATTATTATTTTTTTCTTCCCGCCAGGTGGCCTCAATCTGCGATTCCAACTTTCAAAGTCACCTCATCCGAGTGTCTACAAAAAGTTAGAATTGGTGAACAGATATCGTTAGTGAGGTACGTGAACTTATTTATCGACTATAGCTGATATATGTATATATATAAATATGTATGTATATGTGTATGTGTATGTAACTAATTAATTGGAAATTGGAAGAAAGAATGAAGGTTTCATGGCCACTTTCGAGCAGAGAGGCTCTAGTGCATTACTTTGTATTCGAGTATTTCCGAGACGGTCTAGTTGTTGTACTTCTTAACTCGGTAACTTTTCAATTTCAATTTCGATCGAAATTTTCGGTATTTCTCAATTAAAACGAAAAAAATAAATAAAAAATATATTTTTTCAGATATCTGACTCGGAGACGGTAAACAAAAGTACGCACGGATTCACGAGAGATTTTATACCAGATGCAGAAGATGTAGTGAGAATAGGTGTGGTCGGAGGTTTTGCTATACAGAAAGTTACACAAGATCGGAGCTACTTCAGGTATATTTTTTTTATTTTTTTTATTTTTTAAAGTTTAATTCAATTATGTGCATCGATTGTGTGGAAATTTAGACTTTTGTCCATTAGTAAATCGAGTTGCTCGCTCGCGTTTTTTTCAGGACAATAGCGAACATGGATCTAAAATTAGACTTAATTCCACCTGCATTGCTCAATTTTATCTCGAGGCAGCTCGTTGGCAGCGGTTTCAAGCTCTACAAAAAGGTTATTATTATTAATTAATTAATTATTAATAATAATAATTATTATTAGGGCAAATTACAAACACCCCTGAGGTATGGTTAAATTACGAAAAAAAATCCTCCTGTTTGGATAATTACATATACCCCTCAACTATGTATTATCTTACGAAACACCCCCTCCAGAGGTAAATTTAGGGATGTTAAATCGGTAAAACCGAACCGAAATTTCAGTACGCCAACATTTCATACCGTTTACCGAATATACAATTTGGTTCGGTAAATAACCGAATTACATAAATTTTATGTAAAAATATTTAAAAGGAGGGGATGGCTGTAATTACCCTAACAATAGGGTTTTTTCGTAATTTGGTCATACCTCAGGGTAGACACGGCCACGGGCCGGTTCGGGCCGGTTTCGGGCCGGTTCATACCGGTTCACGGTTCACTTTTTCCGGAACCGGAACCGGCCCGTAATAAGCACGGTTCGGGCTGGTTCCGGGTCGGCCCGGAAAATTTGAATTTTTTATTTAATTTTTTTTTTTTGAAATATTTGATGAATAAGTAAATTATAGGAAAAATTGGGGTGTGAGGGTATTTATAGGAAAAATTGGGGGGGAATTCAAAAAAAAGGAAATAACGGCCGGTTCACCCGGGTCGGTTCACCCCGGGCCGGTTCACTAGCCGTTATTTGCTTTTTTTCTGAATTTTTTTGAATTTTTTTTTTTTTTTTTTTTTTAAATCCGGGTGAACCGCCGGGCCGGCCCTGCGGTTCACGGTTCACCATTTCATAGAACCGGGCCCGTCCCGGGGACGACGGGCCGGTTCACGGGTTCCGGGCCGGTTCACCGGTCAACGGGTTGGCCCGGGTCGTCAACGGGCCGGTTCGGGCCGGTTCCGGGCCCAAAACCGGCCCATGGCCATGTCTACTTCAGGGGGTGGCCGTAATTTGCCCTTATTATTATTGTTAAGGTATCTTACATTTCCTAGTATGGGAACTATTGCAGGAAGTTGCTTTGGTTTCTCAAGGCGACAAAAAATTTGTCGAGGCGTTAAAAGGCCCGCTCTACACTCGTATACACAACGCTCTTTATTCGCAGAACACATCCGTTATGCTCGAAGAACCACCTATAGAAGCTTCCAAAGACAACAATGCTACAATAAATATTAATGATGCAGCGGCGAGCGACGAAATTGAGGAGCTCGATAAAAAAGATACCGAGGAAAAAAGAGAATCTTTATTAGATAAATGCATTAAAATAACATGTCACAATTTAGGACAAGAAATTACGGAAGAGTTTACGGAGGTCGAAAAGGCGGCAACAAATGGAATTACGGAAAATAAGGTTAGTGTTCGTCCGGAGGTTCAACAAGCTTTGGGAACATTAGACAAGGCTATTACAATACTTCGCGAGTATAATAATAATAATAATAATAATATTAGCCCCGATGATAAAAGTCAACTGTGTAATGTTGAAAAACGAGACTCGATAAGTAGTGGCGAAAATATACAGACGAGAAGCAAGATTGCACCGGCCCCACAAGACGAGAATTTGCTGGAGAATCAGAATACTGTATCGAAGGGCTCGGAGAAGACGGTGGAGAGTATTTCAGCAAGTGCCGATGCGAAGGGTATTATTGGAAATAGGGGGAGTAAAATGAAAAACAGAAAATCGAAGTTTCTATTCTTTAAAGTGACGTCTGTTTAGCGCTCGAATGTTTGTAAGAAAATCTTTGAAGATTATGCAAGTATAAGGAGTACTTAGTGTATACGTATAAACTTATGTACGGAATTTCTGAATTTCCGCCGATCTATTTTCGGTTTTGAAACAATAAATTTCGTTATGATTTTCGATATGATTTTAATCTCCGAAAATTCCAATATTTATTCCCAAAAATTTACACTGGTGACATCGAAATTGTTATGTGTTTGGTATTATTGGTGAATAAAATAAAAGACTCTCTGAATTTTACTTATTTTGATCCATATATTTTCGATTTTGTAACAATTTTTTCTTTTTCGTTTCAATTTTTTCCAATTTTTTTTTTTGGAACATAATTGGACTTGGTTTTTTTATTTCTGAAGTGCTAATTTTGGTACGATATCGTCCTTCAACGCAAAGTTGTACACACTATATTTCCTTCCTCTCAATCAAAATTACAGAAAATATATTCTATGAATGAATTAAATATCGTAATAAATGAAAAAAAAAATTAAAATAGTTTCATATTAACCTAAAAATGCTATTTGTTCAACTTCAAAATAGCTAAAAGATTTCGGTTGTACGTTGCGCTTCAATGCTAGTACCTTCGTCGTCCCCACAGACATACACCAGAGGCAGAGCGTATAAATTCAGCATCTCTCTCTCCCCTCTTTCTCTCTCTACCGAACAGCATTTCGTCGAGCACCTTCCGCTCAGAATGTGGAGGAAGACAAGGCTTCACAATTCCGAGCAAATCTCATCGATTCTTTCTCGAGCTGTTAATTCGACGGATTTCGTTTCGTCAATTTCCATTTTCTACTGTTGGAATTCTTCTAGATTCAATTCCCCCTCCCCATTTTCCTCTCCTTTTTCATCATCTTCTTCTTCTTGTTTTCGTGCTGGGACTGAACGGAACACTTTTCCTTCTGCCAGAGGTTTATTTTCCCAAACCCTAGCCAGTACTTTTACGAGAGATCATGCAAATATATCCGTGAAAAATTACAACTTTTTCTGCTCCCTTTCGAATTCCGCCGAGAAATTACACTGCTGGAATTGCGGCGCCAAGGGTGAGAATACGACGCCGTTTCTCTTCTGCGTGGCCTGCCGCAGCGTCCAACCTGTTAATGAATCCATCGACTATTTCCAAATTTTTGGGCTGTGAGTTTTTCAATTTAGTATCATTTAGTGCACATTTCATAGCAATTGTCATTCCATTTAATAAATTGTGATGTAGTTCTCTATCTGTTCGGCGAATTGTAAGAGCTCGTATTGCCTTTTTAGGGGAAGGGAATATAAAATGGAAGTGCACGAATTGGAGAAGAAGTACAAAGACTGGCAAAAGAAGCTGCATCCTGATCTAGTCCATTCGAAATCCCAGGTTAATCTCGTCTCTACGATGTTCGTTTGGTTTCCTTTTATATTACAAATTGTGTTCTCGTTGAAAGATCGAATGTTTTGTGTTTTGCATTTGGTCTCTTTGTACTAGAGGGAGAGGGAGTATGCTGCTGAACAGTCTGCTCGGGTTATAGATGCATATCGAACGCTTACTGACCCATTGTCGAGGGCAATCTACATTGTATGTTTTCATTCGTTTCTTTTTTCGATTAATGGTATATTTATTACATGATTCGATTTTTGTTTTAGCACTTTCGAGCGCTACTGGACTAAACTTACTTTATTCTTGATGAATGAATAGAAACACTATTAATATTGCTAATTTCAACCTTGTAGAAAGTTATAATAGTGGCTGTGTTTATTTTCTGTTTTTCGATTTTATCTCACAAAATACTATAATTGAGGTTTGTAATGATGACATCAAGAATACGGAAAAAAAATAAGTCTCTGATATTGTTGTGAAACATTCAAAAAATAAAATCAAGGGAACCTATATACCTTCGTTCGACACTTCGTGGAGTTTTTCAGAAAATTATCCTCGAACTTACTCTTATACTTCATTTGCTTAGTTGTTAGTACAGTAACTTTTCCCTTATCTCATCATATTCTATGTATTTAACTGATATAAAGAAAGTATTTGGCAGGGCATACCTAATGGTAATCAATAATTTGCAAATTATTATTATTTAGCTTGTTATGAATTACAGTACTGTCAAATCATCAAACGTTTTATTTGAGTTTTCGACTTTCTGCAATTGCCCAAACTTTATCTAACATGAGCTTCTTTTGATCTTTTCCCTGATAATTTTATGCAGGTGAAATTAGAAGGTGTGCTTGTCGATGAAGAAGAAAGGATAACTGACCCCGAGCTGCTCGCTGAGGTAATGATTTATACCACCAAAAAACTATTTCCTACAAATCGTCCCTCTTTTGCTTTTTGTTTATATTTTTTTCTAATTTGGTAAAGTGAGTTATGTGACATGTACTAGTCTAACCATATATCTACATGCATCAATGATGTACCTCTTTGATCATCGTTACTGAGGTGTTAGGACGGGCCCACCAGAACACAAGCCCGTCTGCTTCTTGGTTCATACGTATAATATTTACCGGAAGTTAAAAATCTTTGAAGAGTGTAGACCTTTTCTTGGAGGTCTTGTAAAATCAGCATGTATACTTTTATCAATATACCTGAACATGAAATATGTGCAGCTTTCAATAAATTTATTCTGCGAATATTAATGTGGACCAAAATGCAGGTTATGGAGTTACGGGAGGCTGTTGATGAAGCCGAAGACAGTGGGGCATTAAAAAAGATCCAGAGTCAGGTTTGTGTATGCCCTATCGAATAATATACAAATATTAGAAACATTAATAATGAGAAACTGTCTCGTGACTGATCCATAGTCGCAATAAATTCGGGCAAACTTTTAGCCTCCTCGAGTCATTGAAAATTTGCTCGATATTCCATCCTATAGGTAACTAATTATATGTTGATTTGAATTTTTTTTTTTTTTTAAATTAGTAAATGGTTATAGTGCCAATTTAGGGTTCTTAGTTAATTTCAGTAATTGTTTTTACATTGGTTTCTGCAAAGGATTTTCCTTGTAGTTGGTTATAAAAAGTGCATCACTTGACGGTGCTTTTCCAGATTGTAGTAGATATTATAATTTCGAATCTACAGCTGTGATTGATATCTCCCAGATTTCTCTTCGTTGCAGTTGCAGGAAAAATTGCAATGTTGGTCTAACTCATTTGACGATGCGTATGTGAGTAAAAACTATGAAGACGCGTTGGCTTCAATACGCAGGATGACTTACTATAGACGCACCAATGAAGAAATCGTGAAGAAGCTTTAATACAAGTATGCTTTTTTATACGACATCAATTATTTTTACTTTCCAGTTTGAAGTTATTGTTTAATATGACCATCTATTATTTTTCTATACAAAGAATTGTAATCTTTTATCTGTGTACTAGTGATTTTTCGATTTTCATCACTGCAGGGCGAGAGAATGAAGAATTGTTGCCACGAAAGGCTACTAATCTCGTTTTAATTTGCAATTGTGTTAAGGTCCGTAAGTCCAGCATCGAAAACTCGAAGGGCGAGGCAATAAGCAGAAGAAGCAATAGCCATTCAGAAATAGCACTCTGGACAAGGAAAAAATTATTTACTTAGCTTGGACTAGTTTATGGTGTTTCATAAATTCCCCATACCAACATATTTAATTGGAAAATTAAGTAAATAAATAATATCCCTTGTTTTAAATAGCAGATTACGTTGTCTTATATTTTGTTCTGAATAATACTCCCCATACCAACATATTTTTGATTTTTTTTTTCGAATTACTCTTGGAAATTAAAATTCGATCGAGAAGTTCACATATAATTTAATTTCAATAAAAGTAATTGACAAAAATAATATTAAAAAATTGGAATTCTTTTTTTGGTTGAAATCAGAATAATTAGGAAGTTTCATTTCAATTTTCATCGTAATAAAAAGTTGAAAATTTTATTTAACATCTAATCATTTTTCTAGTCATATGAAATTGGTCGAATTTTCAAATTCTCAATTAAATTACAACCATCTCCCTAAGGTAAAGTAAAAAAAAAAAAAAAAAAAAAAAAAACCCTTTGAAAAACTACATCCCTCAAGAAAAAAAAAAAAACTACATCCCGCCCCTTGCAGTTTGTAAACGTCTTATATCCACCCCCTACAAAAGGGTGTTAATGTAAGAAATTTACAAATTGCGGGGGTGGATATAGTTATAGAAAAATGAGGGCTTTTGTCATTAATAAACCTTACGCCAGGGGGGCGTTTGTAATTTACCCTCTCAATTATCATTTCTCCTTCACCAGAGTGTGGACCCAAGAACAGAACAGCCGTTAAATAATTCAAACAGGAAAGAAAGAAATGATTTTGAATTTCAAATTGAGTAACGGTCACAAATCAAAATCCCTAACTACTTCCTCCCATCTCCGATTTACAGAACAATGTTTCATTTCACCCAACACTAACAAAAAAAAAAAGAAAAAATCTCCATTGATAGTAGTAAGAAAATCCTTTTTCAATTTTCCCCAAATCAAAAATGGCGACTCTAACCCCAGGTATTCTTCTCAAACTCCTCCAATCCATGAACTCCACCACCAAAGTCACCGGCGACCACCGCAGCCCACTCCTCCAGGTCATCGGAATCATGCCGGCTCTCTCCACCGCCGACTCCCTCTGGCCCAACCACGGCTTCTACGTTCAGCTCTCCGATTCCCTCAATTCCACCTACGTTTCCCTCTCCGACCGAGACACCGATCTCATCCTCGCCAATCGCCTCCAATTAGGTCAATTCGTACACCTCGACCGCCTCCTCTTCGACTCCCCTCCGGTCCCTACCCCCGTCAACCTCCGCCCCGTCGCCGGCCGCCACCCCTTCATCGGAACCCCCGAACCCCTAATTACTCGAATCTCCCCTTCTAAGAACGGGTACGTCATTCAGCCTGTTTCAGACTCCGACCCCTCTGTGGATCCCATCGCCGCCTATTTATCTAGGGCAGGAAAAAAGGAGAACGAGATTAAAGAGAAATTCACAGAGAGTAGTAAGGTTAACAGTAACAGGCCAGTGATTGCTCCGAAAGAGAATGTGAATGTCAATGTGACTGGTAATTCTGTTTCCGACAAGACATCGCAGAGGTTTTCATCGCCAGGGGCATTGAAGCAGAGATCGGCGTCCACCGGAAAAAAACCCGCGGCGGCGGCAGAGAGGGATCAGTCACCGGCCTGCAAGTCGGGGAAAAGATCCTCTTCCCCTGTGCCACAGAAATGTGTGGTGCCTAGCCTTGTCTCAGCCAAGGAAGAAAACAGGAGGACGTCGAGGGAGCCTTCGATAATCGTACCGTCTAGGTACCGGCAGCCATCGCCGACCGGTGGTGTGAGGCGGCAGGCGAGTCCGGCGGTGGCGGCGAGGAGGATGTCGCTGTCTCCGGGAAGGAGGTTATCGGGTGGGCTTAAGGTGTCGCCGGCTTTAGACTCGTCGGGAAAGAAGAAGATGGCTGGTATTGTTGCTGGGATTTCGAAGATTTCTGAGGGGCTTGCGGGGTCCGGTAAACCGAGTAGGAAGAGTTGGGATGATGCATCGGCGTCGAGTGGTGGAAGCTCGTCCGAGCATAAAGAGAAGGTGGGAACTAGGAACAAACCGGATTTGCAGGCCATCTTGAGAACTCAGGTACTAATACAGTAATACTTAATATTGGAATTGTGTTTTTAGGTGCACATTTCCTTGCAATAACATCAAATTAAGTATCTTTGGGCCTTTTAGATCATAAAGAATTTGCATTGACATTATTCTTTTGTCCAGGCTGCTATATCGAGGCGTTTGAGTGATGTACATGAGAATTTGCCGAACAATGAGAATTTTGGAAGTCCTTTGGGGGAGGAGAAAGTAAATGTTGCAGGTCCGGTTATCACCATACACGAAAAAAGATGGACTGATGGGAGTGTTCCGTTGGATTTGGTCTCTTCTGATCTTGCAAAACTTGGAAAGGTACACAAAAATTTGGAGACTGTATAAAACTTTTAAGTGATAGTATGCTGATCAGTTTGCTGTAAATGCATATCAGGATGCCATGCAGAGGAGAAGAGCTGCTTCAGTGGCTGCTGCTGAAGCTTTGGAGGAGGCCATCGCCACGGAATCTATTGTTAGAAACTTGAGGTACTACTCTTATGGCATATATCTCGGTATGCATTTTAGGTGGTATTCATTTTAATGCTAATAGGGTAAACAATTGCATGGCCTGAGTCTAAACCTAAAATTAATTAGGCTTCAACATAGGTTATGATCGTGTATTATATGAGCTAATTTCAAAATGATGTTACTCTCACATGGACTAATTTTGATCAACCTGTTACATTGTGATGATCTATGTGTGCAATAAAGACGCTCTATGTCGGACTATTTCGCATTATTTGCTCATTCAGTTGTGTTTTCATGTATATACATATTTACTTATGTTATTCGAGTTTTCTAATTCCTTGTTAGTGATCGGGGTACCTAGTTGGCCACGTGTTTAACATGAGCTTGATCTTGAAGTAGTGTTGTCATAATTATTTTATCACCACTGTCCTTAATTGTCTGTTGTTTTTTTGGACATCTTGCAGTCTAAATAACAACTTAAAACACTTATTTCATCGTCTGGTGTTTAAAAATGTTGGCTGCACTATATTCAAATAGAAAAGGGGGTTGTTCAGTTCTTTTAAAAAGCTTCAGTGGTTTCAGCTCTGCATTTTTCACTTCTGGGCGAAAAGGTGTATATCCCCTGTATTATTATTGCTTTTGACTTGGATCCATGTGAGGAAGATGAAACCACTTGTGTGCATAGATATGAATGTAAGACTTTATCAAATCTTCGGTTTTGAAGTAGGCGTATTATTCGAAGAAGAATTAGGTTTGAGGGAATATGAACTTCAATATTGAAATGGACACTAATTTCAGAATACTAGACTGAATTGTTTACTGAGCGACAGCTTCCAATAGTAAATTGTTTTCTGATGAACTATGGTCATCTAAATTTACTATATAGCACTCAATTGATCTCGAAAAAGCATTATTAACATTTTCAAAATTCGCAGCATGTTTTCAGAGCTCCTGGCCATGTCGAAGCCTGAAAATCCACTCCCTACAATCGACCGGTTCATGTCCATTTACGAGGATGTTCTGAAATCAACAGCAGAAGCTGAATCAATCTCGTCTCTCCATAATTCATCAACAACAATTAATGACAACAGCACCTCAACAGACCAATCAAAATCCAGCAGCAGCAGCAGCAGCACTCTTTGGGTGGAAGCTGCTCTAGCCACAAATCTCGAAGTCGTCTCCCTTCTAACAAACGAAAAATTTGAAGGTTCGTCAAAAGTCGGACAACAAAGTTCGAAGAAAAAACTACCTCTCAGTGGACCTGTCAAGAGTAATAATAATACCACGAAGGGCTTATCAGTAATTGGAACATGGAGTAAGGGCATGGGAATGAGTGAGACAGTCGAACTTGGAAAAAGTTTGCAGTTTGAGATGCAAATGTGGTTTTTGAGGTTTGTTGAGGAATCTCTCGATGCTGGTTTTCGAGTGTTCGGAAACTGTGGTAATAATAACACTGGTGTTAGTAACTGTGGACCAATAGCAGCGATTTTATCGCAGCTGAAGCGAGCTGAAGCGAGTCACGAGTGTGACCGGATAGTGTCGAAAAGGGATAACGAGGTTTTGATGGAAAAGATCGAGCGCCTGAGACGGAAGATTTACGGGTTCGTCATTCAGCATGTTGGCACGACGGTTGACAATACATCTCCAACAGCCTCAACTTGAGGCTGATGATATGCTATTTGTTCTTGATATAAATGATGTTTCTTGTTTCGTTGTAATATACTATCGATGCAGGTAATATGAATTGAATTTCTTAAATTGCTTGAACTTCCTTGTTTGGGTAATTTTTTTTTTTTTTAATTGCGTTTGGATTGAATGGTTTGATTTGATGGGAGGATTTTGGGGAATTAAATTAAAATTAAATCATGTTCCGATGATTAGGAGGATCCTATTTTGTTAAAATGAAAATAAGTTGATTAAATAAAAGCTAAACTAAGTTTAAATTCTCGAAATGAATTTCAAGTTAATGAGAAATTAGTGATTGAAGTTAGCTACTAAAATAACCCAAATGACATTTTGAAGAAGCAGCAGCCTCACAATAAAAGTAGTGTGTAATTTATGTGCAGATCAACGGTGATCAGGTAGTATCAAATAACCCGCATGGATATAGTTCAATTGGTTCCAGGATGGTAAGTTGTTGCGAGCTCATAGGATCGAATACTGGCAGTGTAATGTGGTAGTTTCAGCTTATGCGAGCGTTGGTTTCTTGTGGTCACCAGGTCCAATTCTATTACCCTAACGTTGGTTTCTTGTGGTCACCATGTCCGATTCTACTACCCTAACGGGCCGTTAATTTATATTCATCCATCAAATACTTGTCGGGCCAAGGTATAAGGATCCTGGGACGAGAGATTTCGTCTTTTGATGCAAGGTAACATATAATTGGGTGAATTAGGAATGTCGAAACTGCCCCTGCCCCGCAAGAAAACATATAATCCTTTTGAATCAGGGAATGTCGAAACTACCCCTGCCCTGCACTGCGAAAAGGTTAAAAGACCCCTCTTACACGTTACAACGCTCTCTAGATTCTTCTCTGAAGCAGAAATTCAATAGTTTCACGCAATTCAGAAAAAAAAAAAAAAAAAAAAAACAGCAGCATCGACAATGGGGTGGGTGTGGCAGAACGATGGCGATGATGATTCCAACCGTATTTCCTCCTCCGCAGGTGACCTCGGCGAGTTTCGTGGCTCCTCAAACCCTAACGGTAACGGCGGCAGCGGTCCCTCCGCCACCCGAAAAGTCGTGACTTCACAGTGCCGAACGGAGGAAGTTGAGCCTGGGAAATTTGTCCGCAAGTGCGAGAAAACAGAGAAGGTTTTCAAAGACTGTGTTGGCAGGTACAAAATATCGCCCCGAATGTTGGCGCGATTTCTTATCTTATTATTTCGTTGCGTTTCAATTTCCTGATTTTGTCTAGTTCGTTGAAGGAATTGAAATTTCCCCTTTTGTTCATGAAATTCATGTTTCTATTTGTCTGTTCTGATTGAATTAAGTACTTGTACATACGCCATTGCTTGCTGTGTGGTTTGGGAAAAAAAACTAATTTTGTTGTTAGGGCAAACACCAGTTAGTCGAAAGGATAGGTGGAATGCTTAGATCAAAGTTGAGGAAAACCAAAGAAAAATTGATGAAGATTTTCTTAATAGCCTGATCTAGTAAACTAACCGGCAACAAAACAATATCGTAAGGGTTTCTCGGGATTTTGGAAATAGCATATGTAGATGAGAAATTTGACGTAATTAGGAAGTATGTCTGTGTGTGCTGGACCTCTCTCTTTGTCCCTTCTGCTAGTATAAACGGAATCCGCTAGGTTTAGTGCTTCTGTAGACTAATGTTACAAATAGATATCAAAAAACATCAAGTGAGAAATTTTCGGGAATTAAACAACTCTACATGTTTGAAGTAGGATTGGTGTCTCAGTGACTTCCTAAGCCTAGATAGACAGATAGGTTATGCCAAAGGCATTTTGCATAACACAACATAAATCGTTGCGTTCACAAATTATTCGAAAACATTCCTTGCACTTTGGTTGAACTCTTGAGTTCAACATTTGATTTCGATTTGGTTAAATCATTATATCTTTTGAATGTTTTATTCTTTGAAGTTTGATCCATACTTGCTACTTAGTCATCATTTCCTTGAGTCTGATGTTGATTTTTTTACGTGTTTCTTATTTGCAGTTTTTATTTTATTTTAATAATCATTGCATTTCAGTGAGAGTTACATTCTTGGTTCTGTTTATCTCCTTCTTTGTCTGAAATCACACTCTAGAAAGGAATAAAACGGACTTATAACCATAAATGTTTGGGTTGAAAATTTACACAAACCTCCCTAAAGGGTCTAGCTGTAAATACACCTAACTTTAGGGAGGTATGTGCAGTTTAGTTTATTCTTAGTATTTTAATGTTGATATTGATTTTTATAATGAGAAACGTGTTTAGATCTTGATACTGATAAATTTGTCTATTCTTTGAAAGTATGAGATGAGCTAGAATGTTAGAGGTGCAGAGTGTCGATATTAAACTTGTCACCTATGTAACGAAGGATTCCCTTCCTTCAACTGGATTCGAGCATGTGCTACGGGTGGTTAGCTTGGTACATTCTATGAAATAGCTAAGCCAACCTGCTCTGTTAAGATCCTCATTTAGTGTACGCATTTTATGAATTTTATTACCTACGTATACCGATATGAACATAATATGATTAGGGTCTCTGAATAATTAGCGTGATTGGGAAATTGACGAGTTAATTATATACTAGTATGATTTATGATGAGATTTAAGAATACTTGATGTAGCTTTCATTTAGATGTGCTGGTGAAACTCCATGTTCAATTGCATTTGAAGTATCATGTTGCATAGTTCAAGTTACAGTACCTGTAATCATTCATTTGACATTCTTTTTTTACTTAGGCCCAGTGAGATGATAAAATCTGTCAAAGAGTATACTGAGTATGATGTGACAGACCAAATGGATAAAGGTTCATCTCCATTCGAGTCGGCAGAGCATGATGGACCAGCTCACTTTAATGGCTTGCGTAATGATATTGAAGCTATCGAACGTAGTTTATTGGGTGGGATTGGCCGATTTTTTGAAGCAGCTGAAGAGATGAAGAACGAGTTCTTCAATTCAGTTGGGGTTCCTCCGCACATATACGATCGCGATTCTCTACCGACACCCCACAACAAGGGTGGCGGAATTCACATTGAAGGTGGTCCCAATCATAAAGAAGCTCTTCCCGAGAAGAATTCTGATGGAGATATTGATCTTTCCGGTTTGGCTAGAGATGTTTGATCTTTTGTGAATAGAGTGACTAAAATCCCTTTTTTGCCCAATTTCAAAGTAGCAAGTTAAGTTTTTCTTAGTGATTTTTTTACTGCTGCGATCGCTAAGTTTAAGTAGTAATCAACAATCGAGGATTAAAAACTGTCGTGTTTCTTAGTTAGGTCTTTTTTGCAATAATCTCGGTGGTTTACCATTTCGGAGTAGAGAATTGTAAAAGTCTTACTCAATTTCTTGTGTAAATTACAGGACAATATTGACCACGTTGAGTTGAATTCACGGTGGAAGATCATCTCACGCGACATTCATTATTTAGATAACTAACATATGTTCATTTGTTTGTTTACGGTACTTGATAATTGACGTGAACTAAAAGCGAACACGTCCGTGAACATTCTACGACATATTTCTCATTCGTTCGCTTTCAAGAAAATTAGATGAGATTCAATGGTCTGTATGTATAGCTGTCCATTGCCAAATTTTGTCATTTTCACAGCCGGAAAATAGATGTTACACCTGGTTATTTGCATTGTTTGGTTTTGAGCCGTAAATCTACTAATAATCATGCACACTTATGTGTTTGTGTGCTTAATGGATAGTTATTTAATAAAACCTACGGTTCAAATTCTTGCAATGTAAATATCCAGGGGTGACAAGTATATATAGAGAGAGTCCCCACTTGAAGGGAAAAAAGAAACTCTAAGATAAAAAGAAAGAAAACCAAACGTAAAGATGAGGTTTTGCTATAACGTGTGGTCATCACACTCTATCATGTTTTACATTCTTCTTCTTCTTCTCTCTCTCTCTCTCTACAACCAATTTGGCAAACTCTCTTGTCCTTTACCTGCCCTAGATATTTTCTTATTCCCACTTCTCTCTCTACATATCAACTTTAAAAGCTTGCAAAATTCCTTAAAAAAAAAAAAAACTCTTCTTGGCCAAAGCGTATAGAACAAACACACTGAAACTTATCCCCAAAAATGACAACGTTGGCGAAGCTGAACCTTCGACCGCTAGACAGCCACCTCCAGACCGGGCAACCGCCGCCGCGGCTACTCTTCCGGCATCGGTTCCTATTCGACCCGGTTCGTGCGAAGGGCCGCGGAAGATTCTGCATACAATCATTCAGGTCGAAAGAGGGAAGTGGTGGGATGGAAGAGAAGAACAAAAAGATTGAAGAAAATCGAGGTGAATTGATGACGAGCAATGGTTATGGATCTAGAAAAAGTCTGAACAAATTAGTGGCCGCTGTTAGAAATTCAGTTTGGAGAGTCTCCAAACCCAGCTTGCGCTCCCAATTGAACTCCATTGAAGCTATGGAGAAACTCGAAGATACTTTATTTTCTGTAAGTATTTTATTAATTGGGAAATTACAATTTTCATGCCTCAAGTTTGCATCGATTTCACATTTGGTCCCATGTTAAAAAAAAACACAATTGGTCCCTCACGTTTCAAAAATTAAACACTTTTGATCATTTCCATCAATTTACCGTTAGTCCGTTAGTTAAGGTAGCGAATGACACACGGTTTATGCCGTTAGTTTCAACTGAAAACTGACGGAAAGGATTAAAAGTGCTGAATTTTTGAAACACGAGGGACCAAATGTGTTTTTTTTAACATATGGGGATCAAATGTGAAATTGGTGCAAACTTAAGGGATTAAAATTGTATTTTTCCCTTAATTAATTCAATTCCCCCTTGTAATTTTATTTTTGGAAATTAATTTATTATTAAATAGTATTATTAATTAGGTATGTGGGATTTTTTTTTTTTTTTTATATATATAAATTTTATGTGGGCAGATTTCTATGCACATTGGAAGATATATAGTGACAATGTTGAGCACTGGAGTTATACTTTTAATTGGGTTTAAGTTGTCAGGTTAGCCCTTTGTTGTTGTTGTAGACATACGTTGCAAAGGC